TCAGATTTGTGTGACGAACTTGGCATTGATCATAACTTCTCAGCCCCACGTACACCACAACAAAATGGAGTGGTGGAACGTAAGAATAGATGTCTCGAAGAGATGGCTAGAACTATGATCAATGAGGCAAAAATCCCTAAGTATTTTTGGGCGGATGCCGTGAGTACCGCGAGCTACGTGTTAAACCGAGCCGTCATTCGACCGATACTCATGAAAACGCCCTATGAGCTATACAAAGGGAGAAAGCCAAATCTTTCCCATCTTCGAGTCTTTGGTTGCAAATGTTTTATTCATAATAACGGCAAAGATAACTTGGGAAAATTTGATGCCAAGTCGGACGAAGGGATTTTTCTTGGTTATTCTCTTCGCAGCAAGGCCTATAGAGTATTTAATAAACGCACTTTGACTATTGAGGAGTCCCCTCATATTGTATTTTCCGAAGATAATACTCGCTTGGCGAGAAAGGCTATTTGTGATGATCTTGCAGATTCATTAGAGAGAGTACACCTTGAAGACGATGAAGAAGACACACCATTATACACCAACCCGCAACCACAACCTGAGGAAACACCTCAAGTGATGGTCGAAAGTGAAGACCAATCAGACGAAGAAGAACAAGAGGAAGCCCAGGAACAAGAGGAAACCGAGCTTCCCATCGCTTGGAGAACGCACAGGAACCATCCACTTGACCAGGTAATCGGCAGCATCAACCGCGGGATAAGTACTCGTAACTCTCTTAGGGACACCGTAGGACACATGGCTTTTGTATCTCAAGTTGAACCTACAACCATTTCCGAAGCAATAAACGATGAACATTGGACCTTGGCTATGAAAGAGGAGCTAAACCAATTCAAACGGAATGACGTTTGGGAATTGGTGCCAAGGCCCGATGATCGAACGATTATTGGTACGAAATGGGTGTTCCGTAACAAACTTGATGAAAATGGATTAATCACTAGAAACAAAGCTAGGCTCGTAGCTAAAGGCTACAATCAAGAAGAATGCATTGATTTCGAAGAAACTTATGCACCTGTAGCACGTTTAGAAGCTATTCGTTTACTTCTTGCTTTTGCTTCGTCTATGGATTTTAAACTTTATCAAATGGATGTTAAGAGTGCCTTCCTCAATGGTTTTATTCAAGAGGAAGTGTATGTTGACCAGCCCCCAGGGTTTGAGGACTTTGAGTTTCCCGATCCCGTCTTCAAACTCAAGAAAGCGCTCTACGGTCTTAAACAAGCACCACGTGCTTGGTACGAATGTTTGAGTAAATTTCTTTTGGATAGTGGTTTCCAAAGGGGAAAGGTTGACACTACACTTTTTATCAAGAGTAAAAACAATAACATCCTTTTGGTTCAAGTTTATGTAGACGACATTATATTCGGTGCTACTAACGAGTCTTTGTGCAAGGAATTCTCGACGCTAATGACTAGCGAATTTGAAATGTCAATGATGGGAGAGCTCACATTCTTTTTGGGACTCCAAGTTAAGCAAATGAAAGATGGAACGTTCATTTGCCAAGCTAAATACTGCAAGGAGCTCCTAAAACGGTTTGAAATGGACAACGCCAAAGCCATGGCAACCCCGATGAGCACGTCTGACCATCTTGACAAAGACGAGAAAGGTAAGGAAGTAGAGGTCAAAAAGTATCGAGGTACCCCGTTCATGAAATCAGGGGGAACCATACAAACAGCGCTGTCCAGGAGACACAACAGCGTTGTTGAGGGAAACACCGTCAACCAGAAAGTTTTCCAAAAGCGCTGTCCATCAAGCCAACAGCGCTGTCCCAGGAAGTCCCTTCAATCTTCACTTTCCAGAAACTTTTTGAACATCGATGTTCCCTTTTAAACATCGCTGTCTTCCCAAAACTTTTGTTTTCAACCAAAACCAGAAACTTTTTTAACAGCGATGTCTTACCTTCAACATCGATGTCCATTTTTACAAATTTTTTTTCAATCGCATAACAGCGATGTAGGATAACCCAACAGCGCTGTCCTAATGGGTTTACAACCTTACACAATTCCAGAAACTTTTGGAACATCGCTGTAGGGTACTTTTCAACATCGCTGTCCCTTTGACACTTATTTTTAAAAAAAAAAAATTAACGCACAACAGCGATGTTCAGCATTCCACTAGCGCTGTCTCAACAGCGATGTCGCCTATAGAACATCGCTGTTCAGGTCAAATTTTTCAAAAAAAATATCCGTTGGCAGCAGCATTAATTTCTCCAACAGCCATATTTTTGAAAATATGGACGTTGGAGACCACCTTTTCTATAAATTGGGACCCCCTCTCCTCACTTTTACACACACAAACACATATTCCTTCAATATCTTCACATATTTCATCCTCTCTACTCAATTTTTTTTTGAGATTTCTTCACTATGGGCAAAGACAAGAGCAGGGCAGGCACTTCCGGGAAATCAAAGTCCAAATCCCGGGCGCCTACATCATCCTCCGAGGAGCGCCTCTACTATGGCGACGGGTCATACCTTTGGTTTAATTCCGAGGAGGAGCGCACCCGTTTCCTCACCTTTTTCTCTAAACGGGTTGTGGCTCCCCCACGGATCATCCCGGAGCGCTACCCGGAGCTGCAGGGCTACGGCGACCTTGACGCACAGCTTCATCAAGCCGGCCTTTGGCTGTTCGTCTCCCGGGCGCGCAAGGAGATCAACCCGGCGCTGATCCGGGCCTTCTACTCCAACCTCCGGCGTGAGGACGACGTGCTCTACTCGCTTGTCAAGAGCACGCCGATTGAGCTCACCGTGGAGCAGCTTGGGCGCATCGTCGGCCTCCCCTTCCAAGGCGACGATGTGTCTCACTATGGCGGAGAGGACTAGGTGCTCAACAACGAGTGCCTTATCCTCAACGAGCTTGGCATCACCGAGCTCATCCGCCATGCCTCGGGCCGCCCCACCATCCACTCCGCTAACCCCGATGGCCGTCTTCTTCTCTACATCGTCTCCCGGATCATCAAACCCAGGAAGCACGGCCACACCATCATGTCCGGTGAAGATCTCAAGCTCATCCATGCGATCATGCACTCGGCCCCAATCAATTGGGCAAAGTTTGTCATGATCAACATGACGATTGCCGCGTCCACCGACCACGTTCACCTCCTCCCGTACCCGTTCGTGGTGATGGACATCCTTGAACGGTTCAAGGTGACCACCACCGTTGGCCCACTCACAAAGGCCACGAAGATTTGGGCGGTCAGCACCCAAACCTTCAAGAAGCGGTCGGACAACGCCGGACCTGCCACTGCCGTGCAACGGCGCCGTTCTGCTGCTGGCCCAGCCGAAGCCCTGGCCCGGGCCAACCTTGCCTCCATCGCCGACTCCCTCAACCGGCTTCACTTCAAAGTTGAACTCCTATTATGAGGATATGACATATGTTTTACTCCTATTTAAGGGGTTTTCTTTAATCTAATATATCAATATTTCAAATTGCTAAACAAAACTCCGAAACGCCCAATGAAGCTTAATTGTTTTGAGTCAAACACTCACTATACAGACCACATCTGTAAACTATGATTGCATGCAGTAGACGATTCTAGTTGATAAACGATGCACTAGAAGTAGCCTCTGATATTGATTATTACAAGAAAGATATACGATCATTGTGTAATTACATTTTCAGTTCTTAATTGAACAACTACATCATAAAAGGTAAAAATAGACTATTTATAGAAAGGTACCAATAAAAGGACTACAGACGTAATATTTGATAATAGAAAACTATGTACAAAAAAACCCCTATTATAGAATTCACTTAAAAAAATTACGCATTTCTTCATTTTTCTGATAAAGTACTCCCTCAGTTTCTTAAAACAGATCCTCTTTTTTTTCGTTTTTCCTAAGAACTTTCATCGCATCTGCTGTCGTACCAATATATTGCATTCAATTTGCATTGATATAATAAGCCGATTAAATAATTTGTCTCTTTTTTTCTTCGATGATAAGGATATAATAGTTAGAAGGTCAAATTATGAAAACAAATCTCACTCAAATCAAAATTGGAATTGTTTCAAGAAATTGAGAGAGTAATAGATACTCCATATCTAGTTCACATTTCTTCTCTTTCGTATAAAAATACTTGAATCACTCACTTTTTTTATTTTTCAACATTTTTCTAATGAAATCAAATTGTCCCATTCAAGTTAAAGTGCGAGGTAAGAGACTAACTCCATCCTAAAACACTATTTACACTTTTTTGATGTCCCAAAATAACTTTACTATTTCAAGCTTGTTTTATTTTCTTATTTTAGTACTTCATCTGTCCCATAAAGCCCTTCATGTTTCAAAAAATCATGTCCCTGAAAGTCATTTCTTTTTCTATTAAAAAACCACTTTTACCCCTTACTTTTTCATACCCTACCTATCACATCATATATACCTTTTTTCTAATAATCTACAAACCACATCCTACTTTTACCCATCACATCAAGGGTATTTTGGAAAGTCAACACAAAATTATCCCTCCTTATTTTATCAAAATCTAGTCAAACTGTTCCTATCTTTATGGGACAAAGGGAGTAATACATAAGTGACTCATATTTTTTCCTGTTAATCTAAATTAATCACTCCCAAAAATAAGAATTGTACTCTCTATTAATACAAATTCATGGTAATGTTTGTTTATTTCTGCGTTTTTATTAATTATTTGATAAAATAAAATATTTTTGTCAGCTCTTGATCTGTATAACTTTTAACATAATGTAAAATTTTTTGGGACGGAAGCAATATTTACTTCGTTTTGTGCAAATTGAAATTTTACTTCTCCGCCCAAAAGAATAAAGAATTGCACACACTATTTATCCAAATTCACGGTAACGTAACCTTTGTTTATTTGTCCGTTTTCATTAATTATTTGACAGAATAAAATAATTTTGTCACCTCTTGTTTTGTAGAAGTTTTGATGTAAAGCAAAATATTTTAAGACGGAGTGAGTATTTACATTTCAATACTATGTATTTCTTTTTTGAATACTCTATGGTAATCAAACTGTAACAGAGTTTTTGGGATGGGGAGAGTATATTGTAAAATGCATTGTAACACCCTTGGGTTGGATTCAGATGTAATCATGATAAAGCTAGCTAGCTCCGATCCGATGAATCAGATGAATAATAAAAAAAATGTAGTCCGTATTATACATGTGGAGAACAAGATTGAAGACATTACATGATTAGAGATAAGCAATGTAGTTAAATTGATATGAATAATTGGTTGCATGCATGCTGCCATCTGGGGATGAAGCAAAGTCCGGTCAATTAATTTAGGGATTGAAAGCTTCTAAAAAAGATGCAGGGATGATGGGTCCATTGCCTCGACATACATAGGAGAGGTTAGTGGGCTAGTGGGGCTCTAATTTGAAAGATGAGAAAACAAGCTCTATTATGCTTGATTGGGATTGAAAGATGTGCTTGAGGAGTAAACACTACAGCAGAGCTAACATGAATTGCTCTTTTATTATAATTTTTTTAAAAAATTTATCACGGCGTGTTTCTTTACACTATGTTTGGTTTATGAAATTTGCAAGGAAAAGAAAAGAAAATGATTTTCTCTCATTTTCCTCACGAATATAGAAGGAATTTAGTTTTCCCCGTACTAAATATATTTTGTCTTCTCATTTTTTTTCCTTTCACTTTTTCTTTCTTTTTTCTTTCTAACCAAACTAGAAAAACTGTTTTACACTTCATTTACATTTTTTTCCCTTTCAAATTCCTTGAACCAAACATAGTGTTAGATTGGAAAAACAAAATTGGAAAGGGATGTTAAAAGAAAATGAAAGGAATTAGAAAAACTTGAAAAAGTTAAAAAAAACTAGTGGAGGCTAGGTTGAAAGAAAATGTATGAGATTACAATAAATTGAAGAGGTTGAAAGAAATAGAAAATGTGTTAGACAACATATATAATTTATATTAGTTCTAGGTGGTTTTAGATTTAGTCTGATAACTAGATCTATATGTTAGTCCCAAGCTGTTGGCTAATCTTTTAACAAAAAAGAAACTCATATTTGCTAGGAGTTTTACTAGGTAGAAACCTTTATTTGTTAGGAGAGATTTATTTTATTTAGACTTCTAGAATTGCTGCAGTTTTCGATATTGATGTAGAAGATGCTACAGCACCCTGTGACAAGATCAGCAAGGCCTGCACAAGAAAAAAAGCTGCGATTTGCAATTTCCGAAGTTTGAGTCTTGTTGGGAGTTGAAAATACTTCCTAGGAGTTATCTATTAATGTCCAGCTGTACATGTTATGGAATCCCAAAACTTTAGGCTACTTGTGGAGCAAGATCAAAGAGGTTTTATTCAGGACAACTTCAACTAACCTATTCCTACGAGGATTGAGTTTGGAGAGACCTATAAAAATGATGTAGGTCCCTGGGAATTCCTTAGAGATTGTGAGGGGACATATGCAAAATATACGCTGATCTAGAGCATTCTCATCGCATTCCGGAGCTTCCCTTGCATGAAGAAAGTTACGATACATGAAGGAGTCCTACAATGAAAAAAAGATCGTGACAACATGAACCAGAGCATAATGAGTGGACTGCCAATTGTTGGAATTTTTTAGATAAATTGGACATTTTCGGACATAAATTCGGTAGGGTCCACAAAATTATTTTCTGAAATAATTATGGACGTTTAACCTTGTAAGTAAGATAAATGTTTCAACATATTACACGCCATAAATGGTGCTCGGGTGAATGAGAAATTAATTGTCAAAGTTGAATATGAGGGAAGAGTAAACCCCTTGTCCCACACCGCTTTTTGAACCTTTCGTATTCTCATATTTAACCTTAAACATTTAATTGATTTTATGAAAGGAACAAGAAAGGACTCCTCGCGCGCCACCGCCGTCCGCGCGTCGCGGCGGGGCGTGGCGCGACGTGCCTGCGTTTGCGGCGAGGCGGGGCTAGCTTTTTACTAGACTGAATTAAACACGCGTTGACACTTCGTTAATGCATGCCGACCGAAGAGTCACTTGAGACTCTTCGGTATACCGGTTCGGTCTATCCATTAGCCAAACCTCCTCCTATTTAAGGAGAGGTTGGTTGAGAGAACATGCACACAAGCTAAAAATCAGAAACACAGTCCAACGTCCCATTTTCCGATCGTCTTTTCCGGCAGTGACCTCTGTCGTTCTCGTTGAACGCACGATTTGATATGAAAGATTTGGGTCTAGCTGATGTGATTCTTGGGATCAAAATAATAAGAAGACCAGGTGGTTTGAGCTTGAGCCAATCCCACTACATTGACAAAATTCTTAAAAAATTCAACAAGGATGATACAAAGATAGCTAAGACGTCAATAGATGTAAATGTTCACCTTGGTAAACACCGAGGGAGTAGCAATTCTCAGACAGAATACGCTAGAGTTATCGGAAGTCTGATGTATCTGATGAGCTGCACACGGCCATATTTAGCTTGCGCCATTAGCAAACTAAGTAGGTATACTAGCAATCCGAGCACTGAGCACGGGAAGGCCATAGTCCGAGTGATGAGATACCTTCGGTATACTCGAGATTATAGCCTATGCTATGGCAAGTATCCACCCGTGCTGGAAGGGTACACTGAGTCCAATTAGATTGAGGATAATAAGGATTAAAAATCCAGAAGCGGATTTATCTTTATGTTGGCCGATGCAGCTGTATCATGGAAATCCTCAAAACAAACGTTAATTTCCAGATCCACCATGGAGTCTGAGTTTATAGCACTAGATAAGTGCGCAGAACATGCCGAGTGGCTTCGGAATTTACTTGAGGATATTCCAAACTGGGAAAAACAAGTTCCTCCTATTTGCGTCTACTGTGACTGTCAATCGGCAATAGCACGAGCTCGGAATAAATTGTATAATGGTAAGTCTAGGCACATCCGCCGTAGACACAAAACAATTAGGCAACTTCTCAATACGGGTATTATCTCAATTGACTATGTCAAGTCAAAGGATAATTTAGCGGATCCACTAACCAAAGGGTTAACAAACGAACAACATGAGAAGTTAGTGGTAGGAATGGGTCTGAAAGCCCTACCATGTGCTGGGAACGTTCCATGAAGGAAAACCCAACCTGGGTGGTACCTGGGTTCAATGGGACAACCTACTTGTGGGACGAAGCATGGTCACTGTGGGGGCGAGCCGGATCACCGACTCAACATCCCTCATTTCCTACCGAGATATAGTGACTCCCAAAAACGATGAGGTTAGCATGATGCTTTAATGATTCTTGAACTATGGACAACGGGTCCAAGTGGAGTAACTGGGATACTCTTAGAAGAATCACCTATGTAAGAGTGAAGTGTGGTCGCTTCAACAGAAGGATTTTCAGGCTAATCCTGTCTAACACTCTCGTAGAACCATATGCGTGTTCCACGACCATAATGGGCACACCCATGAGAACGGAATGATGCTTGGTTGAAACGTATGTATTGTATATCGTCATTTAGATAAACAGCAGTACAGTTCAAAGACATCACGTTCTACTGAACAGCTAGTAGAGAAGGTATACTTTACAAGGAGTAGGTTCAAAGGCATAAAACCTACCTACTCTTGAAGGTGTCAACTTCAGAGTTATTGCCAGTCACATGGATTAATTTTCATCCATGTGGGGGATTGTTGGAATTTTTTAGATAAATTGGACATTTTCAGACATAAATTTGGTAGGGTCCACAAAATTATTTTCCAAAATAATTATGGATGTTTAATCTCGTAAGTAAGATAAATGTTTCGACATATTACACGCCATAAATGGTGCTCGGGTGAATGAGAAATTAATTCTCAAAGTTGAATATGAGGGAAGAGTAAAACCCTTTTCCCACACCGGTTTTTGAACCTTTCGTATTCTCATATTTAAACTTAAACATTTAATTGAGTTTATGAAAGGAACAAGAAAAGACTCCTCTTGGGAGGAGATTGCCCACGTTTGCCAGTGCAGGAGGCGAGCAATACTACCTTAAGGAAAGCTTCGGTGACTCTGCTTTCCTAACCTATATTTCCAGAAACAGCTCCGGCGACCCGCTACCTTCCTTCCGACGCAGTTGCAGTTCGTGTTCTTCCTCCTACCTGATCGTGTTCTTGATCTTGTCCGTTCGCGTTCGAGCTTCTAAAGACTCCCATTTTTCTTATTTTATTTTCGTTGTAAAATCTGAACGGTTTATAAGTTCGGATTATTTAATTTTCCATTCCTGCTATTATTTGTAACACCAATAACACGTTTAACCTTGTGAGATCGGTGGAGATGTGATAGCCAAAGCTGATTTGTATAGGGTCTGAGTTGAAAATCCTAGGTTAGAAGTTGTAGAATTTGTGAACTAAATTGGTTGGTCGTTTCATTGATATGAGAGGATATTTATACAAGTTACAAGCCCAACAAGATAGGCCCAAGATAAACACAAATAATACAAAGAATATAAAAAATATGTACAATATACTCTAATACTCCTCTTCAAGTTGGAGCATAGAGATCAAAAATGCTCAACTTGGATAAAAGAGAATGAAAAAGAGGACCAGGGAGTGCCTTCCACTACTACTAAAAAGACCTTTTGAATCGGTTATTTTTACCTTTTTAAATCGGTTGTAAAGCGATTCAAAAGCTGGCAATGCAAATGATGAGGTAACTTTTTGCATCGGTTGTTTAACCGATTCAAAAGCCTCTTTTTATGACCGGATCGGTGTCAAATCTTTACCCCTAGGAATGTGTAGGGAAGAAGCATTCAAGGACACACCGCTATTCTATATTGTACTCTTCTCATCCTGACGTTTTGTGTAAAAATAATAGCCATTCATGTAGTACCCCTCGTAAAAAGATACATTTACCGACGGTCTTGTAGCTAATGATCGCACGTTTTCTGTCACATTATGAGGAGAATATACTATTTTCCAGCGAACATGCTCTTGAAACCATTTTAGAAATATACGATTGTGCTCATTGGTCAACCATGTTGGAACACGGGTTTACTCCTACGCAATACTAAACCGTGTTCGTTTTATGACAGGTTTTGATAATGCCAAACTGCCGTGAAAACGAGATCAATTGAGCAAATCAAAGGCGAAGAAACTTGGCGCGATGATGAATTGAAAACGAGAACCAAGAACCAAGGACAAAGACATAAAAATAGTTGAGCCGGTCTTAATGTGATCAAGACCGGCATAAACTCCTCAAACTTGGCTCTCTAGGCTAATTTATTTAAAATGTCTTTCATGCATCATAAAAATCTCTTTTCACAAGCTTTAATATCTTCAAAACACTTGGTGTTCTCTCAAACCAAAAACCAATTTACTTTTGGATCGGCTATTGGGAATAACCGATCCAAAAGCGAATTAGCATTTGAATCGGTTATTCCCAATAACCGATTCAAATAACCATTTAAATCAGTTATTAGTAATAACCAATCCAAATGCTAACCGGTACACGAATTTTTTTTATAATTTAAATCGTTTGTTTTGCTGACTGATGCAAATGGGGTGATTTATTTGGTCGTTTTTGTAGTAGTGTTCGTGAAGATGTCTGCTATCTGTAATCTCGTGGGAACATAGGCTGTCACGATATGAGCACGCTGGAGACACTCGCGAACAATGTGGCAATCAATGTCAACTCATGGAAGACTGGGTTGGCCGCAATGAAGAGGGCAGATTTGTTGTCACAATATAACCGCGGAGTAGCCACACAAGGAACATATAACGCTGCAACTAGTTCTCGTAGCCATCGTATTTCGATACATGCATTTGCCATGGCGCGACACTCGGCTTCTGCTAATGAACGGGAGACTGTAGTTTGCTTCTTAGTGCGCTAAGAGATAGGAGAACTGCCAAGTAAGACGAAATAACCTGTGACAGATCGTTGTGTGATAGGACAACTCGCCCAGTCTGAATCAGAAAAAACCATTAGGGCCAAATCACTATCACAACAAAGTAAAATACCCTTACCAGGATGCCCCTTAAGATACCAAAGAATATATAAGGCGGGATTTCATTGATCCAACCTCGGAGCCTGCATAAACTGAGACAAAGCATGAACAACATAGCAAATGTCGGGTCTGGTGATGGTCAAATACTACTAAGGAGATACCGCTCCGACCCTACGCATATCATATTCGAAGGTACAGTCGCCCTTGATGAGAGTTTGTCCTACGAAGAAGAAGTCGTTTCAGATTTTGGTGCGTGAAGTGAAGGCGCTGAGGAACAAGTCAGTTCCCTTGGTCAAGGTACTCTAGAGGAACCACTCCATGGAAGAAGCAACCTGGGAGACGGAGGAGTTAATTAGAATTAATTAATTAATTAGAAAATAATTAATTAATTATTGAGACGGATCCTGAGTTAATTAGAATTAATTCTCAATAAATTATAAGAATTATACCGTGGTGTAGGGTTCAACGAGATGAACCCAAAGGTGCGAACGGATCTGAATTCGGAGCTATTGGCCTGAAAAATGTATTTTTCCCCAAGGTACGTTAGTTAATTACGGAGCATGAATCCTTAAACTATTTAAAGTTACCCTAGTCATGCCTGCGTGTATTTCTACGCATAACGCCACACACAATTATGTAACTTCCTCTCTCTCTCTCTCCAATCTCGCCCAGTGTCGAAGAAGAGAAGAAGAAGAGGAGAGGAAGAGAAGGAGAAGAGGAGAAGAAGAAGACCATCGACTCTGCCCTTCGCTGGTTAGCCGTCGCCGTATTGCCGTCGTTTAAGCTTTCTGTTGCGATCTAGTTTCGTCGTTTCGAGGTGAGTATGTGAAACCCTAACGTTAGAGTAAATAATTAGGTTTGAAATCAACGTTCGTAATTATTATAGTGATTTAATTGCATGAAGAACTTATGTGATATGATAATTCGGGTTTTCCTTGGGTTTTGATGAAAACTACGGGTAGAACGCATGTATTAGGGGTATGTTTGATGTTTTGTGATTACGTGATATTCGGTATGTGTTTGTCACCTTGTTTAAATGCTAAATTGAGAGAACCAGTGTTGGTTTTGACGAGGAAATGAGCTGGTGCAGGAACCAGGGTATCTGTCGCGGCTAAAAGTAAGTCGGTACCGCCAAGACGGTACCGGGGTACTTCCACTCTCCCCGTTTCAACCTCCCTCTAGACGGTAGGCCCTACCGCCAAGTCGGTAGCAGCTACCATGACAGGTGTACCGTGCAAGTGTAGCAGGGCTTCCGGTCGGTACCCACATACCGTGGGACGGTACCTTGGTACTGAGGGGTTCGTACCCCCTACTATTAAGGGTACCGTGAGGTACCTGAACCGGACAGTAAACCATGTTTCACCGGGGATCGATTCCGAGGCTTGTGAGTGTTGCATGACAGGAAGTAGGGGGTGATAACACCCCAGACTAGACCGCTCTTTGTTATTATTCTGTTACATAATGTTGATCCAACACATATGTGATTATGATAATTATATAAATCTCGTGGCTCAAGTATGAGTGGGCTGATCGAGCACACAGTATACAGGTATCGCATGTTGATCTAAAGCGCTTGTCAAGGTAAGTCTATCCAAAGGAAAACCTCGGAATTGTCACGAGTAGTTAGTAAGTAAGAGTCTAAGCTATGTGGAGCCTGCTGGGCCCAATGGCCAACCAGGTAAAAATGTTCGTACGGGTATCCTTGAACTGCTTGGTGATCCATCAGGTGGGGATTCCACCCACCCAACGGAGAACACCTTCATTGATTGAGCATGACCCGCTGATCTAGTGGAAATCATCATGACTCCCAAGTAAAGTAGTAAGACCGTAGTGTAGTCTAGTTAATGGGGACAGGTTTCTGGTGATCCACTAACCGTGATAAGTCCACAGGTTTGATGAGAATGACAACGGCAAGTGCCAGGTAAATAATGGTGTGAATTGAATTGTATGTGTGATATTTTTATGTTGATTGCATGATATCACATGATGATATGAATTGTGGATTCGTTTGATTGTTTTCTTGACGTTAGATATTTCTCACTCAGCGTCAATGCTGAGCGTGTAGTTGTTTGTTTGCTAAACGCAGGTAATCAGGTAGGTGATGAACCTAGAGCCGATCCCGGAAGGCAATGAGTACGAAGAGATATGAGTAGAGCTAATCAAGGATTTGGAATTCCTAATTATTTCTGAATAACTCATTACGTTTTCGGGCATGAGTCCCAAGTTGTGTTAATTTACTTATTAAGCTTCCGCACTGTTTTATTTTTACTCCGATGTTGGATTTTAAACCAAGAACTGTTTGAATGTTTTAAATTGTTTTGAAATTAGTGTGTGTTTGGAAACCGGAATGGTAGCAATGCGGTTCGCTAACCCGTGAATTTTAGGTTATGCGGGTTGGGGTATTATCAAAAAGTGCTGATAAATTAATTTGCTAAAATTCATCACATATAAATACGCCTTCCGTCCCGCAAAAAACTTCTCATTTTGACTTTTAAGGGATTTAAGGAGAGTGTATTTTGGTGTTGACTTTCCAAAAATGCCCTTTGATGTTATGGATAAAGTAGGATGTGAAGGTAGATTAATAGAAAAAAGTGTGATGTGATAGGTAGGTTAAAAATTAATATGGATAAAAGTGACTTTTTAATTGAAAAGAGAAGAGTTTTTTGGAACGAAAGAAAAATGAAATGAAAACACTTTTGTAGGACGTATAAGTTATCAAAAAGTCTTGATAAATTATTTTGGGAAGGAACCCGGAGGAATTAACCTCTTGGTAGGATGAATTTCGGACTTATTGCTTTTGCTGTCTTGTGTCCCAGATATCAATGTAACATTCGTAGAGTTTGTTGTAGAATTTATTTGTTCCCCTATACCCCGTACTATTCGTGTCTGACAGGGGAAAAAAAGAAAGAATAAAAAAAAAACATTCTGAAAACCTTCGAGAAAACAACAAAAGAGCACTGGAATTTCAGAGTTTCTATAAATTCCCCTCCCATGATAAAAAGAATCGTAGAATGGATTCTCTGGGACACACTTCTTCCAAGAAGGCCAACGACCCGAGCTTCACAGATATATCATTCTCTTCTTATCTGAAACATTGCGGCGGCGGCGGCGGCGGGGAAGAGGAGTCGGAAATCAATGTGTTTGATGCCAAGAAATATTTCAGTGAGGGCACTGATTGGAAAGAACTAAGCAGCAGGTCAGTATTCCCTGCTGTTGATATTTACGGCCAGAACGAGGATGGGATCTCTGCTCTGTCGGAAATCAGTCGGTTTTCCCCTGTTTCATCGGTCCAGGCCGGCGGCGGGTTTTGTCGGAGTGCAAAGGCCAGTACTACTCCAACCGCCGCTTCATCTGAGGCTAGCTGGAATAGCCAAACCGGTCTGCTCACTCATCCACCCGGTTCACTTTCCATAAAGAATATCGCCGTCTCTGGGTGCAAGGAGAGGAGGAGAGGCTCCAAATGGCTGTTTTGCCCCTCCAAGTGCCCCTGCTCCGGCAAGAAATCAATCCAAGTTCAGGAAGCCGTGACGCCCCGGCACGTTCATCCCCAAAGGGCGGTGTTGGAGGAAGGAAACCCAAATTTGTCTTTGAAACTTCAGGTCTGTCCTGGGGAGCCAGGGCAAAGGCTATTGCGTCGTTCTCTTCCTGGCGAGGGCGATTTGGCCACCGCCGGGGGGTTTTCTTTCCCGATTTTCAAACCCACCACTCATGCAGCGGCGGCGCCCGTGGATGACGTCAAGATGACGATCAAAACAAGCGCTTTGGGAGATCAACTACAGCTTAAGCAGCAGCAGGATCCGCTCCGTGTTTTCCAGCCACCGGTTTCGAGAAAATCAATCGAAGAAATTCAGTCGACGCCTCCGCCCCGCAGGGGTGGCAATTGTGGGTTTCCGGGAAGTCCTGCTCCTCGGCCGACGGCGGCGGCGGCGGTGGACGATGATGCGGCGAGCGATGCCAGCTCCGATCTGTTCGAGATCGAGAGCTTCTCTACTCAGGGAGCGAGCTATCCGATGTACCGAAGGCGGGACTCGCTGGAGGACGACCCGCCGTTCAACGCCCGTCGGTTCTCCGCCGCCATCAATATCTACGGCGGCAGGCGAAGCGTGGACGAGCCGGCCACGCCGAGTGTGGCTGCCACCGAGAATTACCCGCCGAGCGAAGTGAGCATCGACTGGAGCGTGACGACGGCGGAGGGGTTCGATCGGGCAAGCACAACCAGCTTCTCCATCCGAGGTTTGGAAATGGGAGAGCATGCAAGGGGCGGCGGCGGCGACAGGCGGGGGACGGCGGAGAAATGCAAAAGCGGCGGGGGGTTGCTGAGTTGTCGGCACGAGAAGGCTGTGAGTGTGGGCCCGAATCCAGTGAGACTTGGGATTGGGCCACCTGCATTAATCTCGCATGTGAGTGGTAGGCCACCAAAGCCCAATAAGCCAGCCTCTCACCCCGCCCGCGTGTCTCTTGCTTTTGCAGCATGACTCTCATACATACTACTTTCTTCCATCTCTCCTTGTCTCTCTTTTTTTCACTCATTCACTACAATCATTCAACTCTTTGGGTGCTGTAAATTTCCGATTCACTTTTTGAATTTAAAGTTTGACTAACAATATATTTTAAAATATATTAGAAAAAAATATTTCAAATAATTTGTTTAAAGTATTTTTCAATGTCGATAATTTGGTATAACTTTTATATTTTAATTCCTGGTATATTTTTATATCTAGTTAGTCAAATGTTTGATACGCAAAGCGAAACGGACAGTTAAATAGGAATGGAAGTAGTAGATGTTAACCCTCCGTTCCAAAAAAGAAATACACTCTTCACTATTTAAAAGTTACGCAAACTTTTATTTATTTGTGTGTTTTGATTGATTATTTGATAAAATAAAATATTTTTGTTACTTCTTGTTTTGTTGAACTTTTGATGTAGTTTTTACATATATAAATTTTAATTTTAATTTCTAAATCAATCTTTTAATAAAATAATTTTAAAAAAAAAACTTAAAATTTCAGTTCGTTTTGCGTAAGCGTAAAGGGTAAAACATTTTGGAACGGATAATATAATAAGTCAAAGGCATCATCTCAAACTTTGCTTCAAAATCATTTCTCAAGCCTGTGAAGCCATTTGTCCGGGTGCTTGAAAGCCTTATGTGGTGTTTAATTTGATCCCGTTTGAAGTTTAACAAAGTGATTTCTCTCAGAGAATCCAATTTCATTTTCTACATGCTAACAAGGATGTGAAAATCAATAACAAAATATATTTTACTCCAACAACTTCCATCTAACATTAGAAGTGAGGGCCTCTTTGTTGAAGCATAAAGATATGGGTTTGCATATAGGAAATATACCATATACTCCCTCCGTCCCCCTAAGATGTTCTCATTTTGACTTTTGGTGGTTTTTAAGGAGAGTTGAAAAAAGGTGAAAGTTTACCATAATACCCTTAATGAAAAATGGATGGAGTGTATTAAATGAGGTGGGTGAGGTGTAATAAATAAAGTAAGTGGGGGTAGTTGTGGTATTTTAATTGTTAAAAAATGAAATGAGAAGATCTATTGTGAACAAAGAAAAAGAGCTATTGGAAAGATCTATGGGGGATGGAGGGAATATATTTTTTGCTTTTGGATCCACTATATCACTCCCATCTATAGTCAACTTTAGGATAAAAATAAGTCATCTTCAATTCTATCTTTGTTCCAATCACATTTCGAAAAGAGAAAGGAAAGGTGACAAAAATTTATAATCTTCAGGCGCTAATCTCATCTCCTTCGGAGTCAACAGCGTAGATCTAACAGATTGGGTCTTCTTCGGTGAAGAAAGAAATACGGAGTAACAATAACTGTTTGCTAATTTCAATCTAAACTCCCCAAAGGGTAGAAATAAAAATTTGATTCTATTTCAATTTTCCCCAAACACTTTCAATTTTCCCCGTATATGCAATTTAGAGTTCATTTGACTTTCGTTCTATTTTTTGGCTGATATTGTTTCCGAACTAACGGATTCTGAAGAATGAAGTGTTTGATTACTTCTAAAAATCAAAATTTTCTAGAATTCGGATAAATCTAAAACCAATGCAACGCTCAACGAATTCTAGAATGATAATATGCAAAATCAACGAAATCAACTTTTCAAAATCAAAGCCAAAGGACTCTATCTGAGAGGTGATAAAAACTCGTTTGCAAAGGCGTATGTCACGTCAATGTATCAGTAAACAGAAACACGGTATACTACGGTACACAAGAGAGCAATTACATACCATTAGACCAACTCTAACGCCTTCTTCAACTTAATGTTTTGACGCGTGAAAACTTCAATCAAAATTTCACCAAGCCATTTATTTGCTATCTTTCCAACACCGAACTGAGCAACATGTAATCAGGCAGTAACCTTTTTAGAAGCAACAGAGTTAACAATGGATGCAAACTCAGGACCCTGTAATTCGGGAAATCAATCATCTGGTTAGTATTGCTTCTCATTTCCGGAGTTCGGAGTTTTGGCAAATACCTTTAAGGACGCCCCACCCACAAGAAAGCCATCAATGTCTTCTTTCTTAGCAAGTTCGGAGCAATTGCTTCCGTTCACAGAACCTGTCAAATACTCTCACCATCATTTGCATGTTGCAACTAAACAAAATATCTTGAGAAAAAAACCAATGGTCCATTTGGTACACGGAATTCAGGCCATAGAATTGGAATTGGAGACTTCAACTCCAGTTCTGCTGTTTGGTAGCACAAAGATATGTGAATTTGGAATCTGTAGTGCCAAAAATGATTTGGAATTGGAGCATTCAATTTCATAGAATTTCAATTCCAATTTCCGGTACCATACGGATCCAAGTTATTGCAACAACAAAAAAAACATAAGAGCAGTAATTTTTTATGAACCCTTGGAAATTAAATTATCTCAGAGCTTTTTTATTACCTCCGTAGATAATACGTGTTTCTGAAGCAACTTCTGACGAGACATTCTTATTAAGCCAATCGCGAATAGCAGCATGTACCTCTTGAGCCTGCTCAGGTGTGGCCACTTTGCCGGTTCCAATTGCCCATACAGGCTCATATGCAATAACAACGTTCTCCCAACTTGGTAAGGCATCTGTGCACATGGTTATTAGTCTTTTATGTATGGTTTCGCCAAACCAAAAGACAAGCAGCAATATGGTGAATAATAAATAAAACATGCCTATGAACAAAAAGCACACATATCTAAACCAAATCAAAGAATAATTTCTATAATCAACAAATTCTTGCCTGCAAAAGCCTTCAATTGTTGGAAACAGACATCAAAAGTCTTTCTTGCCTCTCGTTCTTCCAGAAGTTCCCCAATGCAAGCAATAATTCCAACACCCTGGCTCGAAGCATAAGCAGCCTTCTTTCCTATAAACTACATAATGATCCAACATGAAGAATCCACAGAGAAATTTTAAAGGCATTGCAAACGTTCAATTTTTACCTAAGTATTCAAATTCAAAATTCTTACTTCATTGTTTTCTCCCATTACATGTCTCCTCTCAGAATGACCAAGAATAACCCATTTGCATCCAATATCTTTTAATTGTTCTGCACTGCAAATGAAGATGGTAATATCTACAACAACAACGAACCTAGTATAATGAATAATCCAAAGTCTGTTGGGGTCTGGGGGTCAAGATTTACGTGACCTTACCCATGTAGAAAACAGAGGATGTTTTTTTAAACCCTTATACACGATAGGGCGCAATGACGTCGTTTGATCCATGTAACCAACCCCACCTAGTAGGATAAGATTTTACTGTTATTTGTTGTTGTTTCGTTTAGACCCTTGATGCCGTAATGCATTTACCACTTAACACTTCATAGAAAATAAGAAGTAAATAAAGTTTCATATGTTATGTTTATTTAATCCATTAAATACCCTACCCTAAGACATTGTCAAAATGACTATTAGCTCAATTGGCAATGGACCCTTGGTGAGGAATACATAAGAAATTATTCCTCACCGCAAGCAAAATCCACATACCCAAATAGTTGTGCAGGGAATTCAAGGGATGATTAGTAAACAAAGGTATCGGTGATCCATCTGTCAAGAGACCTCACACATGCTCCCTTGAAATGCAAAGCTATGTCATCATTATCACCATTCACCACCTTAATCCCAACTACATGAGTTCAGTGAAATGAAAGTTAGAGTCAATCACTAGTCTTAATTTAGGTAACACTATCATGCAAAAACACATCCAGACAAAGTTTTACACGGGATGCCCTTCCTGTCTAAACATTCTTATGAAGTCAATACATTCTTATGATGCACTCTCTCAATTTCTTTTTACTTGACCCATTTCAATTTATGATGTTGACTAAAGCTATGTTTGATTCAATTTATTTTAGAACTGATGTAAAATTCAAAAATTGAATTTATATACTTTTGAACTATATCAATACTTCTAAAATACAAAAGGTGGCGGGACTATATTATTTCATCAAATGAATAATGAATATCGGCAACAATAGATGATAAAGTTTGACTCTATGGATAGTGAATGGATCACGTAAAAAGAAATGGAGCGACTAAAAGGATGATATTCCAAAACTGTCACATAAGCGAAGGAAAAAATATATATAAGAGATTTCTTGATATTTCCCAAATGATGTTTCCTATGAAACCTTTTACATTATGTTTGGTTCAAGGAATTTGGAAGGAAAAGAAAAGAAAATGGTTTTCCTCATTTTCCTCACCAAAACGGGATGAATTTGATTTTCCCTCCTCCTAATACATTTTGCCTTCTCATTTTCTTTTCCTTCCACTTTTCTTTTTTTCCCTCTCTAACCAAACAAGAAAAGTGTTTTCCTTCTTATTTTCTTTTCCCTCTCAAATTCCTGGATCCAAACATATTGTCAGGGATGTAGCCCAACAATGATATTTTTGAAATCCAACTATCAACATAGTTGTTTCACCTGATTTCTCCAGTAAAAGCCCCGCCCTTTCCAATCCAACAGTTCTGAGCAGCAATCTCAATCCTGTCTGTTAAAGTGCTCTTCACTTGTTCAATATACAGAAAAGGAGGTGCCACCACAACATCTATAAAGTTTAAAGGGCAGAAATATTGGTATATAATGTGAAAAAATCAATGGGAGAAGGTTACTTTGATTCTTCAAATTTTCAATTACATTACTCCGTATTAACGCAGAGGATGCTCCTTAATTGATAACCATCATCAACACAAATCACTAGAAAAGCATATATATATATATATATACACACACACACATACATATATATATACACACATTATACACACACACACACATGAAAAGAATAAAGGGCCCCCACTCCCATTCTCTCACGCCCTTTTTTCTCATACGGGAGATGTCTCTGGGGCACACTCATGTATATGAGAAGGAAAAAAGGTGTGGGGGCAAGCTTGGGGACCCTGTAGCAAACTTCTATACTTTAAGTTACATCCAAGTGACAAATCCAGAGAGAGGGTGAAACCAACCAACATCAGGCTCTAGCTTCGAACTGTTCAAGTCAGATATTAGCCTGACTATGGACTCTTTTGTTCCATTCTGTATAAGATGTCAAGGAAAGACACAAACAGAGCAAAATGAGCACAGTACAATAAGCACCTTTAATAGAAAAACACGTATAATTTGTTTTACACCAAGAACTTGCATGTCATTAAGTCCTACCAAACTACAACTAAACGTTGTAACAGAAAACCAATTGGGCTATAAGTAGAGCATACTATATGATGGATTTCTTCTGTAAGGAGATAAAACCTTTAAGAGAATTAGTAAAGAAGATAATAATACTTACACATTTCCAGTTTCCCCCAACAAAACACTGCAAGTGAAACACAGACAAAATTTAATATTGTAGAAAATGGTTAAATGCCAAGTAGCCATAAATGATACCGAATATAGGAAGAAGATACATAAACTGCTACCTCAAGAAAGTCTTATGAAGTAATTAAAAAAAACTAAAATGAAAATTTACAAGGGAGCTAGAGTCAAAGAGAGAACAAAAAAAATCAAATCTACTTATAGGAGATGTTTTTTTTTGAAAAATTGAATTTCGCACTAAAACTCAAAATGAATACCTACTGTGTTTTCACATTTCTTTCTTGTGATTATATGTAACTAATGTAAGTTAACTTCATCAGTAATGCACCTAATGATGCCATACTTTGAATTTTATGGTTAGAATAACTTAGAATAAAAACTAGCAAACCATTTTTAGGCCACAAAATATTTAAATCCACTGGGATAATAGTTCGGTCTGTATGCTACTAGTAGGATCTTCTTCCAAGTTCCCAGTTAGTCCACGGTTACTGCAAGTAGTTGGAAGAAAAAACTATGCCTATCGAAATGACATCAAAGCTAAAAGCATTTGTCTAGTTCCAACTACAATTTTAGAATCATTCGTGATAAAAAAGAATACCTGACCTGCGAATTCCCTCCATTGTGAAGTATGGGTTCCAAAGTACAAAAATAAAAAACATACCTTTCCAGATCCGGCCATGGCGACAACGGATCGGCAGCCTTTTCCAGAACACACGAGGCGTAGACGAGAATCGATGGTGTGGAAGGATTGAGTGGCGGAGCGAGTGGACGAACCAGGAATAGATCGGCGGAGGGAGAAGTTAGGACGTGCGATGGGGCAGGAGAGTTGACAAGACAGAGCCGCCGACGCCATCGCTGGAAAGCTTAGAGCAATATCAGAAGTTACAGGGTCTGATCTGATGCGTCGTTACTCGCTAAGGCGCTGTTGAGTGAGGTTGTAGTCTTGTAGATGGACAACGCTAGAGTTCATGTATCGATGTACCTTACTCATTCTCACACAAATATAACTATAATGTGGTAATCATTCTAAAAGATGTAGTACTCATTTTTACAAATTTATTCAATACAATTATAAAATTTATCTACAAATAACGTAATGTACACTCTGAAATAAAATAGTACTCATTCTTAAAAAACTTAATGTTCATTTTCAAATAAATAAAATCCATACCATAAATATTTTTTTTCTTTTTTCTCTCACACCTGCAGCCCTCTCCTTCGATCAGATCGATCGACTCCTCCAGGTGGGTTTGGGGGTTTTTCACAGCGTCTCCCATCAAAGAAGGAATCGGCAGCCGGTTTCTTCCTCCAGATCTAACGCACATCAAAGAAGGAATCGGTCTATCAACATCTTCCTCCATCCACCGTGCACATCTCCCTTCCATACAACCGCTTTCTTCCTCCAGATCTGACGCAGCTCTCCTTCGGCGCAACTGCCTTCATCCGACCCGACCCGACTAGCTCCTCCGATCAACGCCATTTCTTCTTTGATTTGCCGGCTGTACCCAAATTTGGGTACAGCAGATTGTATGGTATAATTTGCGACAACGCTAGATTGTCACAGATACTTGCATAGTAACCGAAGCAAGATTACTGAATAGAAAAAAGAGCAATGCTAGGATACACCCATTTGTCTCCCACCCCTTTCTCTATCACTCATTTTTATTTTTTTATTTATTTATTGTTTTTTGAGTCTCTTGCCCATTTATTTGGTAATGGAAGGGGTGGGGGATAAATGGGTACCCCTTTGGTGTACCCCTAATATTTTTCTAGAAAAAAATACTGAACCAACGGTAGTGACACCCACTCTCATTTTGCTGAACCAATAAAATATCGAGAAAGAATCCTACAGTGCCTAACCTAATGGTTGATCCCGAACCAAACAATCTCGAACCAACCAAACAGATATAGAAATACGTTATAAAAATAACAATATTTTTGTATTTCTTCATTAAAAAATATATTGATTTTGAAAAGTTGGTTCAAACGTAGATGAATTACAAATAATTTTTTATTTATGGAATCCTTTATTTGAATTTTAATTTTTTGTAGATGAATATAAAAAAATTAACAAATATTTGAAATATTATTGTGTTATCATTCGTTCTCTTTTGTTTGTCAAATATGAATATAAATAATTAAACTAAGTTTTATGAGTATTTGTTTGCATTTAATTATTCTTGTTTCAATTGTTTATCTTTCTTTATTTGAATCTACTTTTAATTTTTTTAAATTAAAACTTTTGTACATTCTAAAATGTAAACTAGGTGCGTATACATATTCATTCCAATATTTACCAAAATCGAAACTGAACCATTCCGAACCATATCGAACGGATATTTTGGGATCGGGATCGATACGATGTAAAATCTCATACCGAACTGAAATATTTGGGACGACATCGGTACGAACTAAATATCGTACCACGCTCGCCCCTAATGTCCTCTACCCATGTCACATTGTAATAAATTTTGATTTAATCTAAATATAGTTATACTTAAAGTATTTTTTAATCTGATTTGTTCTGAAGTGAACTCATCTGATTCCAATATGATAAAAATAATAAGTAATAATAAAAATAAGCTGAAGAGAACATGACCTTCAACCCGTACGAGTATTTTTCTTCATGTGGACAATGTGCGCAAGTTATACGGTACACTTACCTATCTCTAGGAACATCCGTATGTGATTCGAAGAAGCAGCGAAGACGATCGCGACGACAACAAGTAAGAGGCAGCAAAAACCCTAAGTCAGAGATGACAACGACACTGGTATAGCATATCGACGAAGGTGATGGTGGCGAAAACCCTAGGTTAAATGTACAGCAAATGCGATGGCGGCATTACAGATCGGGGAAGTCGCTTACCTAGATCAAAACCCAAGGTTTGGCAACATGAAATTGTCGATTTCAGCGATGAAAGGTTGTAGATTTCAAAGGCTTCAGAGACTTATTGAGGTGGTGTGAAGGGTACGTCACTTTAGAATGAACACTACGTTATTTGAGAATGAACACTACGTTATTTGTAAATGAATATTATAATTGTAACGAATAAATGTGTGAAAATGAACACTACATTGTTTCAAAATGAGTACTATGTCGATTCAATGAGTACTCCAAAATTAACACTTGCTTTTGTGCAAAAATGAATATTATTTTACTCCAAAATAAGAACTACTCGGTTGTATCATAGTTTTTGTATAGCCAGTTGTACAGTATACACACTTGGACAATGTGTCAGTTCTCAATAGAGTTATGTTGGAATTAAAAAATACTCATATAGTCATATGTAGTGGTTCATGGCGTCATGCCCATTTTGTTCCCCTTCATTATTACTCATTGATTATTTTTCAATCGTCTTAGATGTACCTCAAAGATTGTATCTCAAAATATACCATAAAAGTTTATATTTACATTTTGATGGCTTACATTTTCACAAAATTTCATTGCGATCGCAAAATTTCGAACTGACATTGTAAGTCAATGTAAGTCATCAATCTCGCAATTATATTGATACAAAATGTAAGTGTAAATCTATGAGGTACATTTTTTAGTAAATTTTTTAGTGTACAAGAAGATTTCTCCTTTTTTTTGTGAATAAAACAAAGTGGGTATACTGTTGAGTATATGTAAGCCCTATAGGCCAACTTATGATTTGTATCTGAATTATTTCAAGAATAAAGGCTTTGAAGAATGTTTAAATAATCTCGTGTACTTTAGACATAGCTTCAGTCCATAGATTAGTGCTTTAGTAACATAGATGAGGACTACGATGTTTTGATTGTGAGACTGTTACAAATATAGATACTAGATCTAAAATATCCTTAGTCGAATATTATGATGATACGGACATCATAATATATTAAGACTAATACGTGTGAGATGAGATGGCTGCGTCTCATAGGCTATAGATAAGGTGTTATCTGAATCTATACGTAGGCAAATATATTGGATATATTGTTGGATTGACCCGCCATGAAAATACTATATGGGTATACCTTAAAATGTGTTAATAGTATTTTCATACAACCATTTATAACTATCCTTAGACTTGAAGTCATTACGATTCTTAGTAAGTATAGCTGCATGCTTTGAGATATAATTAATGCCATTTGAAATATTAGTGGATGTATAATTATGTCTTGGGTTTGTAGTAAAGCTTAAGTAAGGATGTGAATGACGTAGACACGATTTATCCCTTCCTTTGTGGAAGTATAATATCTACGGGCCCACTGATTGATGTGACTTGGGAAGTGTATGGCCATACCCAGATAAATTAGTATACATGATATTAATATAATCCGAATCCCACAAGTCAATCGAGATAATCAATAAACCTTTGATTTAACTCTAATAAGGTGACACATCTCATACCTTGTGTTAAATCTAGATATTAGTGATAAAGGGATAAGAGTTATTAAATGAAATGTGTCGTTGAAGGAATTGCTTCAAGAGCTTTATATCCATAGGGTAGGACATTATTGCAAATTTGCAATAGGGTAGGACATATATCTGCTCATGGATGCGAGTAGGTGGTCCCACCCAGCCGACGTTGGATGACGTCGTATCGAGCGGGTTCTTCCATTGATGTGGATGAATCAGGATTCTAGAATAAAGTAGTTGGCATTAGCCTAGGATAGGTTATGAGCTTAGAGATAAGAAAGTTGATTATGAGATTTGCATAAGGATTATGTGTGAGTAATGCCTAAGGTAAGAATGAGGTAAATTGGTAATCTAAGTATTATGTGTGATGAATCTTTTAGCAAAGGTTGAGCAGGTTGAACTATGTTTGATTGATGAATTATTTGATATTAATGATGTTATTGATGTGTACTTGTGTGCATGATATTGTATGAAGTTATGAGCTAGTGGGTTTGTCTATGTGCGTAGTCAAAACGTTAGATATTTCTCACTTAGCTTCAATGCTGAGCGTGTAGCCCTTTTTCCTATTTGCTACACGTAGGTAACATGAATGATGAATAAGGAACTATCCTAGAGGGCAGCGAGGGCAGAGAGATGGATGGATGCTAGCTGGAGGATTTTATTATCTAATATTAAGGTTAGATTAATTATGTTTTAAAGGGCAAGAACCTAAAGTTGTATTTGATTAAGTACTTATTGGCTTCCGCACCATTTTGTTAACTCCGATGGATTTATAAATAATGTTTTGAATTAAATATTTTAAATTGTTTTGAAAAATTATTGTGTCTGAATACCAATTTATTGACAACCCGATCCGTTGGTCCTTGTATTCGGGTCATGCGGGTTGGGGTGTTACAGGCCTTGCGGGTATGATGCATGGTGGCCAGTGTTAAAATGTATGTACGGGATCCACAAATCAAACTTGAGTACCTATTTCTTTTGGGTGACCACCCAACCCGATGGTGAAAAGTCTGTTGTTCGATTCCTTGTGTACCTTAAGCTAAGATTAGTTTAAGAGTTGGAATTTTTTTAAAAAAAAAATTGTACCTTAAACTAGATTGGCTTAAGAGTTGGTTAGAAGTATCTTAAACTAGGAATAGTTTAAGGGGGGTGTATTCAATCCAAACTCTGCAGGATTTTTTTTGATTTTAAAAGTCAGTGGGTATTCAATTGAGATTTTAAAAAATCATTTAAAATTTAGAGGTATTCAATTGAGATTTTAAAAAGTCTTTCTAAATCTAATGATATTGAAAAGTTGATAGATTTTTAAGAATTGTTATAAAAAATGGATTGTGATGGATTTTTAGCTTGAAGTATAAATAAAAAAATCTTTTGCAAATCCAACCAAAGCCTGGCGGATTTTCTCGAGTCCAACCAAACCCCGTTCTTGGCCAATCTTCTTCTCCATCTGCCGTGGATTTTCTCGGCCAATCTTCTTCTCCTTCGGCCAATAATCTTCTCCTTCTTCCCCAAGAACTCATCTTCTCGATCTCATTCTCCATGGGCGCAGGGTCTTCTC